TGCATTACCTGAAGAAAGCAGTGGCCAGGGAATTATTCATTTAAAGAACACGATACTGTTATTTATAAGTTAAGCATTCTAATCTTTCATGCTTTTTATTAAGTAAACATAATTCAAATAATGAATAGTAGTAATGCGTTAATTAAATAATGGGATTAGCATAAACTAGCTCAGAATGTTAAATATTCTATTTGATAAAATATGATGAAATATTTCTTTTCAAATTGCTCACAAGGTAATTCCTTGGATTTCACTGAGGTTATAAGAGCTATTCTTCCTCATTGTTCCTATGACACCACTAGTTCGAGTGATTATTTGAAATTATTTTTCTAGTTTAAATTCACACAGTATGAACAAAATGCCTCCAAACTATTTTTGCTAATTTAGCACAGTAAATATTTCTATTTTTTAGTTTTTCACTTCTAAAATATTTTGCATTTGTCATTTAAACAGCTGTAATAGGTCAGCTGTTTGAGGCTCAGTGTCCCAAATTCAGGTTTAATCTTTACAATTTCTTAGGCAATTATCAGGGGAATTCCAGGAGAACTAAAGGGGAATTCTGTCTGGAATTCCCCTGTGACTTTGTTATGTGTTACAAACATTATTTTAATTTCTTACCTCTGCCAATTACACATGAGAAGACAGAATATGCTAATTTGCCAAAATACCAAATCTATGCCTTTGTTTTTTTTTTAATGTCAACAGTGAGTTAAGACTGATAGAGATTTAATGGTTTAATTAATAAAGGGTTTAGTATAGCTACTTCAGTTATGTTAGCATATGTAAATATGTCAGGCAAAAAATATTTACATAGCAATGAAATTCTGGCTTAGTAAATAGTAAGACAATTAAAAGGAAACATATTTTCAATTAGGTATGAAGATAAATTGGATTATTCTGACTGAATTGGCCATTTTCAGATTTTATTCAGATGACCCAGTACAAGTAAAATAGAAGTGTTCAACACATGAAATGCTGGAGTCATGCTGCTTCTGACTAGCTGGTTGGGGCTGGAATCATTTCATCTAGAAGAATCATTTTCCAATATCCTTCAAATCGCACTGTATACACAGATGTTTACTCTAGTTTTCTGGCTAAAGCAGAGAATAGAAGGGAGTGCAAATGAGCTTGCATTTGTAATTGCATACTCTCCTGTGATCATTAAATGTGCTTTATCTTTAACATGCTAAAATGCTAAGGTATCACAAGGGAGTACTAACTCTAGATTTAACCTGCTAAGTCTGAGAAAGTCTACAGATTTGCACTTTAAGGCTTCCTACGAGATTCTGCTTTCAGTGTTATTTTCCAACAGATATCAGAAAGTTTTATCAGCAGAAATCCAGACACATTATTTTACCTTTTACATAAGCTATGACCCATGTTCCGTATTGAGAAATTTTGACTGTCATTATCAAATAATGTATACAGTGTACGCATGTTTTCTTTACATCTCATTTTAAGTTCCAAAAATCAAGTGAGACACAGCAAACATTGATGGTTTATTAAAAAGAAAAAAAGAATAAAAGTTGAGATTAGAAAATATGTCTGGTGATGAATAGTATTGAGAGAAATTTAAACCCTCTCCTGTATTTAAAGAGCATGGTCTGGGTAGTAATGACCAGCTGTTTGCTTTTTATACAGAGTATAAGAATTAAATGAAATAACTATGTGGAATAAGTCACAGTTTAGGTCCATGAAAGACACAATCCATTTATAGGGTGGTTAAACTAATCTAGATGCCTAAATTAACCAGCAATACACTTCTTCAAGGAGCTATAGTTAGATTTTTAGCGTGTAGCGTAATGACTATAGTGTCATCAATTTTTAAATACCTGTTAACTGCAAGAGTAAAAAATAAATAAATTCCTGTTAATACTCCACTTACTTCCCAGATGAAGAGATTTTTTTCTTTACAACAAATATTTGTACCTACCTGACTCTGAGAAACAACCTGCACTGTGAACTCATTTTATCAACAACAATCCTACTTCAGAGCAGGAAGAAAAAGCAATCATTCTAGCTGGGCTTATTACAGTAATCACTTAATTTCTTGGGCTCCTGAAAAGCTGTGTCTGGCTGTCTACTTTTCTCCTCTGTGTTTCGTTTCCTACTACTGCCTGTTTTGTTTATTTATTTGGGCGGTTGGTTGGTTGTGTGCTTAGCTTCCTCTAAATGAAAAAGTCTATCTGAGCTTGTGTAAGAGTTCTCTACTTCTGCCTGTGTTCTCCAGCTTAGAGACCTACAACCTGACATTGGTCCTTTTGAGCACATAACTTTTAAGTTACATATTTGGCATCCATCTTGGCCTGGACCATCTCAGCACAAATCATGTCTTTGAAGCAAATGATGACAGTGTCCATTCAACTTGGTCCTGGATCGTCTTCATAGGTTGCAGGTTGGCTTGAGGAGTTGTGTTTACTTTCAAGTTTTAAAGATATTAAGGTTGAAATCTTGTAAAAGGATGGCGAAATATATGTAATAAGGCAGACATGTTTATGAAAGAAAGGATGGAAGATTTAAGTAAGATAATGAAAGTCACATTTACAAATGTAAACAGTCGTATCTGAGAAGAGTTTGTAGGTATGTGACTGAGAGTGGTGGACTCAGACCTAAGCAAAGTATTTATTCTAGCAGAGTCTCTTTGCCTCTTAGTGTAGCTTGAAAGCAGCACTTTAAAATCTTCTACTGGTTTGTAAGAGGTCACTCTCTCCTCGAATTTCCAGCAGGACAAGAGAAAGCAAGTTCCAAAGAACTGGTTGACCCCGACCCTAAAAACCATCACTGCGCTGATTAGGAGAAGTTGTTTCTTTTCAGGGAACAAAATACTCCCTTTGGTATCCTCATTGTATTTTTCCTGGAGGCAAACCTAGATCAAATTTTGAGAAATCTATAACTCTGTAATTCTATTATTTAAATTCCAATTATAAAGGTAGAATAGATTAGGTAGAGAAATGTCATTTCTTGCTCAGGGCTACATTAGAAATCCCTGTCAGAGGCAGAATTGGAACACAAGCCTCTCTCACAGTATTAACCAGTCACAGTTCTATCTATCATGTTCTTTTACTTACCTAAAACAGCTCTTTTGCATATTTAAATAATACATATATTTTAAAGGGTAAAACCTACCAATATATAATCTCATTTTCCATGTCTTCTAAGCCAGACTGCTCCCCACAGTTTCATAAATGATGAGAGAAATTCTTCAAATCATGATACCATGAATTTAATGTCATCAAAAGAAGGATTCCTCATGCTAAAAGCAGGTGCACCGGTGTGAATATGTGCCTGTCCCATATTGAGGAGCCATATATTTCACAGTTAGGCTCTACACAGAGAAATAAACAGCCATATGGCAAACAAACTTACTTTTTACTGCTTCATTTTATTTGTTTCAAAATAGTGCAGTGCCACAAATCCAGAATATTAACAACCCTCCATCTGGAGAAATGTAAGTTTTGGAGCCCTGAACCAGCACGTTAGCATTCCCACAAAACTTCCGATCTTCAGTCCACTGCAAGCTTGAAACCAGCTTTATGTCAGCCCAGCATGTCTTTCTAATGCAATGCTAGTGGATCAACTAAAATGTTTATAAAATGAAAAAAAAATCTTACTTCTGGAAAGATTTTAAAAGTCGTCCTCCTTGCATACTCTTCTAATAGACTGTGTTACAATGTTTATTAATAAATATCTTTGTAATGTAGTTAGCTTTATTTACCTCTATTTTGCAAATGAGAAAAAGGAACATAGGGCTGTCTAGATACAAATGTCTGATCTGCATTTAGCAACCTAGCTCTTTAGATTAGAAATAAATGACTGATGCTTTCTTCATTAGTTCAACAAAAATTTATTTCTGTTTCCTAGGCAGAATGCAGGGTAAGAAAATAAACAGAAGGTGGCTTACTGTCTCAGGAAATTTTACCAAACATAAATATTTATAATAGATTTCAGAGGATCCAATTTCTGTCAGATACATGCTTTATTTGATGATAAAGTCACTAATTGGTGGCAATGTATTTCTTTACTTGTCTATTGGAAAGAAGAATGTGGAAGTTACAGAATTAGGGCAGTAAAATTAGGAAAATCAACAAAAATCAAAGAAATTCAGGGTTATTATTTAGGAAAAGCGCTAGCATATTGTCATATTGTTGTGAAATACGCTGGCATACATAGTAGTGTACATATATACAATCACACACACATACATATGCTGGTATATGTATGTTAGTGGGTGTGCTAGCTAGTATACATATATAGCATAGGTATGTTGCTATATTGTTTGTTTTGGTTTGGTTTGGTTTTTAACCTTTAATTTTGTGTTCTTTTAAAGTAGTTTAAAGGTATTAATTGTAAAGAATTACCAACAATGCATAAAATATACACATAATTTGATGGATATTTGTAAAATGAATGCACATGAATCAATCTGTTCATGTGCTTGTACCTGTAACACAGATACAGAAATAGAACATCAGCAGCAATTCAGAACCTCCTTGTGTCCTTTTTTTTTGAGACAGTCTCATTCTGTAGTCCAGGCTGGAGTGCAGTGTTACAATCTCAGCTCGCGGCAACACTGCCTCCCTGGTGCAAGCTGTTCTCATGCTTCAGTCACCAAGTAGCTGGGATTAGAGGTGTATGCCACCACCACGCACCACCAAGTTTTGTGTGTGTGTGTGAAGAAGTGTCTCTCTGTCGCCAGGCTGGAGTGCAGTGGCATGATCCTGGCTCACTAAAACTTCCGTTTTCTGGTATCAAGCAATTCTCCTGCCTCAGCCTCCCAAATAGCTGGAACTACAGGCATGCACCACCATGCCCGGCTAATTTTTCTTTTTCTTTTCTTTTTTTTTTGTATTTTTGGTAGAGACAGGGTGTCATCACATTCACCAGGCTAGTCTCCAACTCCTGGCCTCAAGTGATCAGCCCACCTCAGCCTCCCAAAGTGCCTTTTGTGACCCCAACCCTTTTTACAAAATGCCAGAGGGAAAAATTAAACTTACTCATCATTATTTCCATGTTCTTTGTTTTATTTTAAATATTAGCACTTACATTTCCATTCCTAAATGGTAATTTAATTTCAAGACTGACAAACATTTTCCACAAACGTCAGATATGAAAGATTTTAGTCTTTGCAGGTCATAGGGTCTCTGTCACAGTTACTGTGTCACTGCTATTATAGTAGAAAAATAGCCATAGAATGATAGGCAAAAGTGTGAATGTATCTGTAATCACCCAGGGGCCATGGTTTCTGACTCCTACTTTGATTTTCTCTGCTTTTCAATTTTATATAAACATAAATAAATCTTATTATTTTGGGTTTTTAGCTTTTGTTTTTCTCACTTTTGTTTGCAAAATGTGATCACTTAACTTGCAGTTTGTTCATCTTCATTGTCTTAATATTTCATTACATGAATATTCCATAATTTGCTTTCTTTTTTTTTTTTTTTTTTTTTTTGAGACGGAGTTTTGCTCTTGTTACCCAGGCTAGAGTGCAATGGCGCAATCTCGGCTCACCGCAACCTCTGCCTCCTGGGTTCAGGCAATTCTCCTGCCTCAGCCTCCCCATTAGGTGGGATTACAGGCACGCGCCACCATGCCCAGCTAATTTTTTGTATTTTTAGTAGAGACAGGGTTTCACCATGTTGACCAGGATGGTCTCGATCTCTCGACCTCGTGATCCACCCGTCTCGGCCTCCCAAAGTGCTGGGATTACAGGCGTGAGCCACCGCGCCCGGGCAATTTGTTTTTCTCATTGTACTGTTGATGAATGTTTGAGTTGTTTAAAGTTTCTGGTTACTTTAGTGCTCCTGTTAATTTTCTCATATAAACATCCAAATGCACATATGAGTGAATTTTAAAAGCCTGTATACTTATGAATATTACAAACATAATTATTAGGCCATAGGGTATGTGCAACTTCAAATATATTTAACATACCAATCGATTTTCCAAAGTGGCAAAATTGACTGGCGCTATTCACCAGAATGGTATGTGGGTTCCATTCTTTTTCCTTATATGCATATTCAATTTGTGGTAGATTTTCTGTGAGTGCTTGAAAATACAGTTTGCATAATATATCATTTTTAATCCATTGCTTTTACTCTTGTATTTTATATTTGTCTCTTCTAAGTACCATGTTGTTGGTATTGTTTTTTTCCAATAAGAGACTGGTTGTCATTAAATTGGGGCATTTAGAACATTCATATGTAGTGCCATAGGTTCTTGGTTTATCTTCATTTCACCTGCTTTGCTCAGCTTCTATAACTTTAGGTTTGGGAGAATAAGATAAGAGTATCTAATTCTTGCTCATCTTTAAAAGAGAGTGGTTATTTTATTTCCAAGTTATTGTCAAGAGGTTTCCTAAAATGCTGAATTTTCATCCCACTTTGAACCTCGTTGTAAACTATGGGTAAATGCCCTCAAGACAAAATGCTTTGTTTTTTTTGGTTTAAAATGTATCTCTCTAGCTAAAGTTTACCCTCATGTTTTGGCCCAGCCTCTTTCTATCATCAGTTTAGCCACCCCATGCTGTTTAGATCTGTTTTTAATATTTTATCTAGAATTTTTCTTTTTTTCTATTGGCAGTTTGATTCAAATAATCCTGTCAATTATTACTGGAAAAAAACAAAGTCCATAGAAATATCTTATATCTAAATATTAGTAGGTTTAAGGCAATCATGAAAAACATTAGAAAGAAAATTATACAATTTTTATTATATAAACTATAAAACGAGTTCAATATATTCTCCATTTATCAAAAGGAAATAATGAGAAACTTTCCATAGGTTACTAGTAAGCCCAAGGAGATTACAAAATTAAAAACTCAAAAAAAAATGAAATAAGTGTTAGAAAGTTGTGGAGTACAACAAAATTACTACTCGTTTACTTATAAGAAAAAAATTATTAAAGAGAATTTTTAGCTTTGAGTTTCCCTTAAAAGTGCCTAAGCATGTTAGAAGGAAGTACACAGATCTAGTGTCAACTTTCTTCAGAATTTTCCTTTGGTGGAAAAAAGCTAAAAGAAAATTTCCCAATGAGAGCTATGTACTGATCTTTGGCCAATACACCAGGTAAAATGCATATGGAACAAGAAATAGGTGAAGTTTGTAAAAATACTTAAGTCAAAATATGGAATGCTATCCATACTAATGCCAAGCACATAAGTAATTGAAACATTTGCTAACCAAGATACTCACACCAAGCATATAAATAACTAAAATATATTAATCACATAAATATTGACATTATTTTCAACAAATAGGGAAAGCAAACTTGACAAATTCATAGTCCTCAAGGCAATTTAGTTTGGACGTTCCATGATGTGTGAGGAAGGGAATGGTACTAAAAGAGCCAGGGCACTTAGGTGAAGGCAGATAAAATCAGAAGTTTATTTTGAAAATTCAGTTTTAGTGGTTAGAGGTCTGTCTCAAACTGAAGGAATGAAAGCCAGTTAAATGTCATTGTTCGAGACAGTTGAGAAGAGCTGCACTGGAATGAAGCTGAAGGAACATGTTTCTTCACAAAGCAAATAAGTCAAGTTTAGTTTACTAAAAAACCTACAGAAGATAAAAGAGAAGATAGACAACCAACTGAAATTGGCTGAAATTATCCAGAGATACCACTCTGTTCTTAAAGCTCCCATGAATCTTCCTCTTTTTGCTTAAGCAGTCACTTGTAGAAGAGGCTGTATCGATCATTGGTTCCCAAGATGAATGAAGACAAATTCAACAGCAGTGCAAAACTAGAAAACAATACCACGATTACTTAAGTATAACAGAAAAAAAAAATGGACAACTTTTGTTAGTTACAATAAACCTAAGTTGAAGAATGACTTAATATTTTATGGAATCACCAAGTTGCAAAAAGAACAGGAGTGTGCTAACCCTCAGGAGCACATGGACTAGAGGGGCAACCTCCATTGAGAACACATTCTTTAGAATTTGCTTTTTCACTGTACAATGATTATCTTTTAGATTCTAGACATGGTTTAAAAAAACATGCCATTAAAGTCTTCCAATCTTTACCTCTTACAACTTTGATATCAGGAAAAAAGATTGTGTCACCTCACTTGGCCCCACTCTTAAAATCCATGGAAGGGAAATTGGCATGTGGGAGCATAGAAAAACATTTTCTATATGGATAAAGAAATTTAATTTACAAAGAATTTGGGAGAAGTGGGTGCAGTTACAGACACACAGTCTCAAAAACATTTACTACAAAAAAGTCCCTCATTATTACTGTGCTAACTCATGAGGTTGAGATTGTAATACTCTAACTAAAAACTCTAATAATAAACAACTGATATTATCTAATAGCTTACTATGTGCCACATTTTCTGAGAATTTTAGAGTTTTCATCTCATTTATTTTTAATAGAAATCCTACACCATAGAAACAATTCTTATGACACTTTTAAAATGGAAAAAAGCAAACAAAGATAATGAAAGGCTAAATAACTTGTCAAAGGTCATGTAACTGTGAGGCTATGATTTCAACTCAGATAGTAAAAAGTGTGAATTAAAAGGAAAGATACAAGCATTTTGTCAACCTAAGAAGGATATTTTTGTCAGATGATTCTCTACAATGTTTGACCATAGGTACAATACTATTGGATAATCTTACCCAGATATTAAACAATTGAAATGAGGAAACTTTCAAAATGTTTCTGGTACTCAGTTCTGGATTTTTGAAACACTAAGACATAAGACTAGAATTATAATAAAACTAACATATTTTTAAGTAATAGATATGAGATATGTTTAATGGATATAATTTACTAAGTAAAAGAGTAAAAATTCCATTGCGATACAAATGAACAAAGATTTTTCTGAAATAAAAGCTGATGAAAGACATTAATTTGATATCCAGCACTTTGCCTATTTTTCGTCTCATTGTATACATATGCATATACATATTTCTTTCTGATGAAAGTAATAACCAAAGACATTTACAAGTACAGAAAATTTGTATCCACCTTATATATTAAGGAAAGAAACTATTAAAAACCTATAATTTAAAGGAATTTCAGATAAATGCACTACATTTGTCTGGATTAAAGAGGAACATCTATGATAGGTACACAAATCACCTCCCTCTTTTCAAAAATTCAAATATACCTAAGCCATACTAATTTCCTGGGTGTGAAAAGTTGGTGAACTATGAAGAGGTGTATCAGAAATAGATGGTATATGCTAATACCTTCTTTGTAAGAATGCAAACAAGGTTAAAAAAAAGTATTATAGGCAATAAAATAAATAAAGATATCTACTAAAGCATTCAAATACACAACTACGAAATCAAGCTTGCAGTATGAATGAAGAAAAAAACACATGACAATAAATTTGAATGGAAGAGTGAATTAGCATGTGGATATATGCTTTATCATTTTAATAAGCTGAATAAAGAATCCATATCTGATTATTTTTATAGATGCCAAAAATTGTTTCATAAAATGTATTCTTCCTGTAATGTGGAGAGAGGAATAGAGAGGGCTTGGTTAATGAGAACAAAAATATAGTTAGAAGAAATAAGATCTAGTGTTAAACAGGAAAATAGGGCAACTCGAGTTAACAATACTGTGTATTTCAAAATAACTAAGAGGTTAAATTGGAATGCTGCCAATACAAAGATATTTGTCAATATTAAAGGTGATCAATACCCAACTACCTTATTATTACATACTGTATGCTTGTATCAGATTGTCACGTGCACCCCATAAATATGTAAAATGTTGTTTATAAAAAATAAATTATTCCCAAGTAAAATGTTCATTAGGTAGATATAAAAAGGTATTATATATGCATATACACAAAAACGCATGCACACAGGCACTCAATGTGTACACTGGGAAGTTTGGAGGCAAGATATGGGAACTTATTTTCTGTCAGTTAATTGGTTCTTAGTAGAAGTTTATACATTGCGATCCAAGATGGCCAATTACTAGCAGCTCAGGACTGTAGCTCCCAGTGAAAGCACAGAGAACAAGATAATGCCACACTTTCAGACAAATTTTTGTTGCTCATAGACCAGGAGATTCCCAGTGGAGGAGCCCCATGGGTCACCAGTGAGACTCTTGTGGCAGGCGCCGTGGTTTTGCCAGCGCCTTGGAGCTGTGGTTCTCAGTACAGAGTAAATGGGACTGGGTCCCCTTCTGGTCATTTGGAGTTCCGGGAAGGCAGAGTTGCCCGTTCAGCTGATTGCAAAAGGGACTCAAGAGGGAAGCCATACCGGAGATTCCTGGTCCCAAAAGCACCATAAATCTTAATGCTGCTGTTTTAGCTGGGGCAGTGGGTTGCTCAGATTCTGGCACTGGGAATCAACAAGTTTGATGTCCACTCAGAGACCTAATTTGGGAAAGTTGGTAATTACGAAGATGACAGGTGGATAAATTTACAATGATGGAAAGAAACCAGTGTAAAAAGGCTGAGAATACCCAAGATCAGAATGCCTCTCCCTCTACAGGGGATCACAGTTCCTCATCAACATGGGAACAAGGCCTGATGGAGAATGAGTGCATTCCATTAACAGAATCTGGCTTCAGAAGGTGTATAATAAGAAACTTCAGTGAGTTAAAAGAATGTTCTAGAAACTAAGACCTTGAAAAAAACGTAAAGAAACTAAGACCTTGAAAAAAAGGTTTGATGAAATCCTAACAAGAATAGACAATTTACAGAGGAATATAAGTGAATTAATGGAACTGAAGAATACAATACGAGAACTCCATGAAGTATGCACAGGTTTTAACAGTTGAATTGATAAAGCAGAAGAAAAGATATCAGAGGTCGAAGACCAATTTAATGAAATGAAATGAGAAGACAAAATTAGAGAAGAAAGAGTAAAAAGGAATGAGCAAAGTCTCCAAGAAATATGGGACTATGTGAAAAGACCTAATTTACATTTGATAGGTGTACCTGAATGTCATGAAAAGAATGAATCCAAGCTGGAAAATATTCTTCAGGATATTATTCAGGAAAACTTTCCTAACCTAGTAAGGCTGGATGATACTCAACTCCAGGTAAGGCAGAGATCACCACAAAGATATTCCTCAAGTAGAGCAACCCCAAGACACATAATCGTTAGATTCACCAGGGTTGAAATAAAGAAGAAAATTCTAAGGGCAGCCAGAGAGAAAGGTCAGGTTACCCATAAAGGGAAGCCTATCAGAGTCACAGCAGATCTCTCAGCAGAAACCCTACAAACTAGAAGAGAGTGGGAGTCAATATTCAATATCCTCGAAGAAAAGAATTTTCAGCCCAGAATCTCATATCCAGCCAAACTAAGCTTTATAAATGAAGGAAAAATAAAATTTTTCACGAACAAGCAAGCACTCAGAGATTTTATCACCACCAGGTCTGCGTTACAAGAGCTTCTGAAAGAAGCATCACACACAGAAAGGAACAACCAGTATCAGTCATCCCAAAAACTTACCAAAAGGTAAAGAGTATCTCCACAATGAAGAATCTATATCAACTAATGGGCAAAATAGCCAGATAGCATTAAATGACAATATTAAACTCACAAATATCAATATTAATCCTAAATTTAAATGGATTAAATGCCCCAATCAACAACACAGACAGGCAAATTGAATAAAAAGTCAAAACCCATCAGTACGCTGTATCCAGATCCATCTCATAAGCAAGGACACACAAAGACTCAAAATAAAGGATTGGAGGAAGACTTACCAATCAAATGGAGAGAAAAGAAAAAACAGGAGTTGTAACTTTCGTCTCTGACAAAATAGACTTTAATAGTAACAAAGACTAAAAGAAACAAAGAAGGACATTACATAATGGTAAAAGGATCAATGCAAAAACAGGAGTCAATGATCATAAATATATATGCACCCAATATGGGAGCACCCAGATACATAAGACAAGTTCTTAATGACTTATAAAGAGACTTGGACTCCCGCACAATAATAGCAGGAGACTCTGAGACCACATTGTTAATATTCGATGGATCAATGAGATAGAAAATTAACAGGGACATCTATGATTAGAACTCAGACCTGGAACAAGTAAACTCAGTGAATATTTATAGAATTCTTCACCCCAGGTCCACAGAACATACAATTTTCTCAGTATCACATTACACCTATTTTCAAAGTGACCACATAATTGGAAGTAAATCACTCTTCAGCATTTTCATAGCATTTCACAGACTTAAATGAAATATTGGTTGGCTGTTTGTTATTTTCCTCCCTTATTCCTTCCCGTCTCCACTGTTAAGCACAACTATCGGCATAAAAGAGGTTTTTAATACCTATTTTTAGATTGCATTCCTTCCTGGGCAATAGAGCAAGACTCCTGTTCTCTCTCCCCATTTTTCTTTCTCTTTCTTTCTTTCTTTCATAAAAAATAAAAAGAAATTTATACATTGCAAAATAAAGGATAGATAGGCAAAAACATAATGTCTATGGAAAAATTATTTAGAAATTGAATTAAAATGTCATCAATATTGAAGATTTAGAAATTAAGGAAGCCTAGTAAAGTATCTACTAAATAATTTAGACAAAAACATTGGGAAAGTTTACACTTACTATTAGAAGAAAGAAAAATAACCTGGCCTCTAGAAAATTATTACAGAAAGAGCTGAAAGCAAACACAAAATTTAGGTCAGAAATATTAAAAACATATTTATTGAATTTTTAAATATTTTATTTATAAAGGTACATAATAGCTGTTTATACTTATGGAATCCATGTGATATTTAGAGACAAGCATAAAAGGTGTAACGGTCA